TCCAGCCAGTCTCCTGCCTCAGCCTTCCAAGTGCTGGGATTGCAGTGGTGAGCCATCACCGGTCTGGCAGTCTTTCTTTTTTTAAACAAAGAGTGCTTGGATGTACTTAGTGTATGGGAGTTACCACTAGCGAGGTAGCTTTTCATTTTAACTTGAAGCTGAAAACCCAGTAGGCTTAGTTGAATGTTTCTGCCAAATGCCAGCCCATAGTGCCTGTTGTATGCAAACAGTGTCCACATGCCACAAGACAGGACAGTTTCACACTCAATGGCTCTGTCCTGAGATTGTTTCAGATTTTGTAGAGAAAGTTAGTGGGTCAGTAGTAACAAATTCCATTCTTCCTTTTACCTATTTGGTAAAATTTTTCCCCCTCTTAAAAAAACCTTAAAGTTATAAAAATATCCAACACAACTGAGAAGAAACAGTTTGTCAAAATATAACCATTATAACGCTTATATATTATGCTCAGGTTTTTTTTTTTTTTTTTTGCCAGGCATGCTGGCTCAAACCTTAAATTTATCCCAATGCTTGGGAGGCAAAGGCTGGTAGATCTGCCTGAGTTCCAGGCCAGCCAGCCCTACCTAGTGAGGCCTTGTGTAAAAAACCTTTCATTTTGTTTGATTTCTTACACGATCATCTCCGGGGCACCTCTCCTTCCTCTGCTGCTCCCCCACTCAGTCTTTTCAGATCACCATGGAAGCCTTTACTGTGTCTTTGTTGCAAATGCCATCCATAGGTCATAGACGAATCTTCTCAATTGACTTACCTCCTCCATTCTACAGACAGCTAGCCTAGGTTGGCCTCAAACTAGGATGACCCTGAACTCCTACCGCTACTTCCCAAAGGCTAGGATCATAAGCCCGCACCCTCACACTTGGTCGTTTGTTTGGATTGGTTGGCTTGCTCTTTTAGCTGTCTGGAGCCTGCACACCCCACTGCACCGACCTCTCAGATAACGATTCCCGTGCATCCTTGGGATATGGGATAGTTGAAGGAAGAAGTCAGTGAACTGGGGGAGGGAGTAAAATATGTCTGTAGTTTGTGCAGCGCTGTGCTTACCTGGTTCACTCTGGTGGGCACCACAGAAATGGGTAGATGGATGTGTTGCCTTTCTTTTCCCTCTGGCAGAGTCAGCCATTAATTGCAGTGTGAGACAGTGGCAGAATGTTGCTAATGAGGTTTGAATCAGATTGTTGTGTGCTGGTTATGTAACATGTTGTGAGAGTTATTAAAAGTTGCCTTCTGTTGCAAGGAGAGAGGCAAGTCAATTCTGCTTACTCTCTTGGGCTTTCATTCCTGGCTGAACCTGAAGGCACATTAGGCTACAGCTGTAATTATACCTGGGCTGCCTGTTTCCTGTTTTCATGGTGGACCCAAACAGCATGGTTTGCAGTGATGAGCTCTTGTCCTTCGTGTTAAACAGAGGCAGTGTGTTCTCCCTGCTGAAAACAGATTGACAATTCGGTTGAACAAATTCCATTTTAGTGTTTTGAAGATAAGGCAGTAAAATTATAGTACTTCTTAGTAAAGCGTGTATCAAAATTTAATTTAAAAATCACTTTCATATGCATATTCTTTGTTGTGTAAGTTTTAATTCACCAATACTTATGTAGTGTGAATCAAGAAAGCTCTTTTTTGTTGTTTATAACTTACCAATGTATTTTTATTACCAGGTGTTTGCGTTGCTTTGAGCAGGGAGACCCACATCAGAGCTAATTTCAGGGCCTTCATTCCTCTGGTTTATCCATCTCCACATTACATTTATTCCTATTGTATGTTCCTATCTGTAAGTGCTTTGTATTAAGAACATGGTTGTAGGCACCTTGGGTTCTATGATTTGCCAGCATACCTTGAAGAGGTCGGATATTGGAAAAGATTCCCATCTTGCAATGGACAGTAGTAGCCTGAGGAATGATTCTTATCTTCACTAGGTGTCAGTCTGGAAGAGAACTGAGAAAGTGGGATGTGAAAAGCCTGTTACAGACTCAAGGTCCTCTCTAGCCAGAAAAGATGGTGCAGCCCCCCTTCCCCCGCCCCTGGGGTTGATCTGTGCCTTCTTACACCTTGTTTTTCTACTTCTGAACTTAGTGGAATATTAGCAGTTGGAATTTTCAGGGCAAGGTCATCTAGCTTATTGCCATTGCTATACATCCTTTACCTCCAGCCAAAACTTGAATATAGTGTGTATGTTTACTAAATGAAACCATCAGCCTTTAGAAGTCTTTCAGAAGATTGTTTAAAACTAGATTATTAGAATTTTTCAGTTTATTTTATCTTATTTATTTTTTGTGGCAAGGTCTCATGTAGCTCTGGCTGTGTCTCACTATGTAGTTCTGTCCAGAAACTCACTATGTAGGCCAGACTGGCCTTGAACTCACATAGATCCATCTGCCTCTGCCTCCTGGGTGCTGGGATTAAAGGCATGCATTACAGACTAATTTCCAAATCTCATAGGTCACATATTTTAAATCTTTATTGTTTCATAACTTTGGATGATGTAATTATAGAACATTAAGGCTTTTCATAATTAATCACTAGTTCTGGGCGCTGTGTAGCTTTGATAGATGTGTGAATATGCCCACACACACACAGGCACACACTTTTTTCCCCCCAGCCAGGTTAGAGGTTGTGGTTTAGTTTTACCAGAAGTATTTTCAGTAGCTTTCCTCACTGCCTTTATTTACTGTGCCTTAATTTTGTTGAGATTATTTTTTTGGAAGAAAGAATTATTAGGACAGTTCTCTTATGTCACCCTATAATTTTACTTCACTAGTTATTATTGTTAATGTGTGTTTTGTAAATAGGTTTTGTGCTGATCCTTTGTGAGCACAGTCTTTACCTGTAGTGTATCTGTATTTTGTAGTTTGGCATTCCATGGAAATTTGGAAATATCTTGATCTTTTGTGAGGTTTTTAACTGGAGCATTTCCTTCTGATTTTCTGCATGTTACTTTGTTACGCTGGACAGAATGAAAGCCTTAGTAGCCACAAATATCAAGTGTCCTTTCTGCCTTTTCAGAATGTGCTTCAGGAAGAGGCTGGCACTGTGCAAATTTAACTTTGTTCTCTGAGTATGTGTGCGATCACAGGGGTTCTGTTCTCCTGAAGTACTAGGGTCTTGCCTTTTTTCCTCGGTGGTGGACTGCCCACCTGGAGGTCTAGTTGTCCTGGTGTTTGTTCCTGGGAAGAAGGGACACTGCAGAAGTACTTCTGAGCTGTCTGTTGTCTTGCTGTATTTGCGTTTTCCTGTTCTCTTAGGTGAGAGTCTAGTTAACTCATTGACTGCACTTTGGGCTTGAGTGCAGATTAAATGACAGAACAGAGGAGCTAGCCGGCACTGGTTTTTGTTTTATTTCCTTCTTTTCTGCTAAGGGGGATACTTGTACTCTCGGGTACACATGGGGTGCTGGAGGACGGCACAGTGGCATTGGAGTGGATGTTCTGTGCTGCAGAGGCGCATGAAGAGCGGCAGTGATTTTGTTGTAATAGAAAGAAGAGCACTGAAGGAGACTGGCCAGCTCTGTTTCTGGCCTTGTGCCTGCAAGCCTGTACAAGCACAGTCTACTTCTGGTGGCAAGGCAAGGAGTCTTGCAGGCTCTGTGAGGGTGAGCGATACATCTAGATCAGGCTCTGCTTAATTAGAGGACTCAGAGGAGCACCTGAAGCCTAAAGAGTGATTAAAAGCTGGGAAACAAAGTCTGGATGTGGGCGATTCAAAGGAGGGGCATTTGGGGGCACAAAAGAATGAGCAGGATTGTGCTTTGAGAAGTGTCGGGACACGTGTTCATCATCCAGACGGCTTTGAGGACTGTTTAGAGCTTTGGATGTCTTTTTAAAAATGTAGTCTTTATGTGTTTTACCTGCGTGTATGTGCCTGGTGTCCAAGGAGTCCAGAGGATGCTGGAACTGGAGTTAGAGTGGTTGTGAGCTGCTGTATGGGTTCTGGGGATTGAACCTGGGTCCTCTGCATGAGCAGCAGCAGCTGAGCTGTCTCTCCAATGCTTTTGAAATTGAGAGTCAGAGCTGGTTGAGGAAAGCAGTGATTTTTAGCCTTTCTCTAGGAAAGCAGTTTGAGTGCTCATGTGACCTTTCTTCCTTTTAGATCTTCCTGTAGAGCTAGTGAGTTTTTGTGTCTGGAGGAGCTGTGTGTACTCGCTTTCTCTTTCAGCTTTTCTGCAGCAGTCATAGCTGCAGCCTACAAATTCTAAAGCATTTAGGCTTTAGTATTGCCTAGGCAGTGGTGGTGGGGTCTGTCACTGTGATCCTTGGTGGCTGCTGTTTATGTTAGAACCAGAGCGAAAAAGATTTTTTTAAAGCTTCATCCTGATTAACCTGGCAAGTTAACTCGGTGTATATTTGCAGGTGGCTTGCTTCTACTTGTTTGTTTTTCAACTTCTTGGTTCTCAAACTAACCTGGGATTCCTATTAGAAATGTGGGAAGGTTTTGTTTTGTTTTTGAGACAGGGTCTCACTGTGTGGCCCTGGCTGGCATGGAAGTCACTGTAGACCATGCTGGCCTCAAGCTCACAGAGGCCATTCTGCTTTCTGAGTGTGGGATTAAAAGTGTGGCCTACCACACCTGGCTATTTTTTTTAAAGATTTATTTTTAACTCTCTCACCCTCTCCGTTCCCCTCCCTCCCCCTCTGTCTCTATCTCTACTCTCTCTTGTGTCTGTGTGTGTCTGAGTGCATGGCTCCAGGTGTCTGTGGAGGAGATAGCAGCTGTCATCTTCTGGAGCTGGAGTAGTTAACAGGTGAGCCACCTGAGCTGGGGTTAGGATCTTCAGCAAGAACAATATGCTTCTCTAACCTCTGAGACATCTCTCCTGCCCCAAGATGCCTATGAAGAATTTTGGGGAAAAAATGGTATTGTATTGCTGCCTCTCATAAGAGAATTCATACTTGTGGAAAAATTCCTGTGTATTTAAGGAATGTAGGGAAACTTTGCTAAACCTTATTTCTGAATATCCGTGTAGGTGACTCACTCTCAGTGTAAAGAATGCAGGAAAGTTTTGTCATGATGAACCATCAGTTCACATCCGTAAGCCACAACTAAAGGAGTCTGTGAAAAGAGTTGCGCAGAAGACCTTGAAATAGAAGTCAGGCCTTCCTCTGCATTGGAAGCATATAGGACGTGTGAGACCGTGTACAGCTAATGTGTTAGCCAGGTATAGTAACACATGCTTTCATTCCCAACCCTTGGTAATATGAGTTCTCCGAGATGGGTTGAAGGCTAGCCTGACGGCATAGTTGCCTGTCAAGAAACCCAGATACCCTGGAAATGCATGGAGCCACACTCCCACTCAGCAGGCATCAAGTCACTATGAAAGTGAGAACCCAGCTGTTAAGAGTTGGTCTTGGGATGTAGTTCACTGGCTTTGTGCTTGTGAGACTTGTCTGATATGTGTGCGTTTGTGTTGGGGAGTTGTGGGTCATTATGGGACGTTGGTTTGCATGGAATGGTGTTGTCAAGAGTTTGCTTTGCATTTTAATTCGAGTTAAAGCAGTAAGGGATGTTGGAGCAGAGAGTGAAGGAGCTGCTCTTTCCAGGAATTGAGAAGTCTGAGCGTGAACTCTGTATCGGGGGGAGGGTGTTGGAGAGTGGGTTCTGTATTACTATGACTTATATGAAACTGCAGTCTTGAAGCTTGGCAACATTTTATTCCTACATTTAATATGTATACTATTAAAGTCCTGATCTTTGTTTAGACTGCTTATCAGCCTTTCCCAAGTCAGTTGATGACAAACCCTATTCTTCCAATTGCTCAGACTGACACCTTGGAATCTTTATTGACTTCTGTTCTCACACAACTCATATCTCTCCATCAGGGATCCTGCTGTCTCTTTGTCTGCTTCTCACCACACCAGAGCTATCACCCTGGTGGTAGTTGCCAGTTCCTCTAACTTAGATTACTTCAACTCTCAGCACACTAGCCACAGTTTGTTGTTTTGTTTTGTTTTTGAGACAGTGTCTGTTTATCTCTAGCTGGTCTGGAATTTGTTATGTAGACCTGGCAGGCTTTTCACACAAAGAAATCCACCTGCCTCTGCCTTCCAAGTGCTGAGATCATAGGTGTGGGCCATCATGTCTGGCCGCAGGATAATTCTCTGAGCCGGTCTGTATTTGACCCACAGTAGAGACTGACTCTCTTTCTGTTACTGTGGCTGGTCTGCCTTGCTTCCCTCTTTGGTCCCAATCTTTACCTTCTTGCCTATTCACTTTATTCCCAGGAAGCACTGTGTTCCTTGAGTGAAACCCCCCTTAGGGTCTTTGTATGGCCTTTTCAATAGTTTCCTCATAATTTTGGTTATAATTTGGTACCTTATAATTTGGTACCGTCTCAGCGAGGCCCATCCCTGTCATCTTATTGGAAACTGCCTCTCTTCACACTCCCAAATAACCCAATTATGTCTCTCTTCCCCCACCATCTGATTTTTTACCCCCTTCATAATAGTTTTGTATTTTTGATATAGGGTCTTGTTATGCAGCCCTGGCTAGCCTGGAATTCACTAGGTAGATCTAACCAACTTAGAATTTGTGGGCAGTCCTGCTAGGAATATAAGTGTCCCACCATATTCTGCCCGCTGTTGCCTAACAAAAATGTTACTAATTGTGTGCTTCCCACCACATAAGTTACTATAATATAAGGGTTTTTGATTCCTCTCTGCCCTGAGGTTTCTCTCTGTATTCCTGACTATACTGGAACTCACTCTGTAGATCAAACTGGCCACAAACTCAGAGATTCACTTGCTTCTGCCTCCTGAGTGCTGGAATTAAAGGTTGTGCCTCCATACCTCTTTTCTTTATATATACCCAGCTCATAATAATGCCTTAATAAGTAGTGAGTTAATTAATGTTTTATTCTTAGTTTGAATAAACTGTATCTAGTAAATAGTAACTGTGAAATGAGTGAGTTAAAGAATTTATTTTTAAACATTAATTTCATTTTTAATTATCTTCCTTGGGATGACAGCCAAAGCTGAAATCTGAGATAGGAGATAGAATTTAGTGGTTGGTGGTTGAGCAAAGCATTACAGGCAAAAAAAAAAAAAAAAAAAAAAAATGCATTTGAAAATCAGATAACAAAAGATAGTCTGGGAAGAAAGAGGCTTTTCAGGAATGGGATCAGGAGCATTGCTTCTGGAGCTGTGCTGTCTTAAGGTGTAGTGCCTCCTTTGTAGTAAGGGCACTCTGAGAAGTGCTGTGTGTGTAGACTGGATGCTCTTTCTTGTTCCTTCTTTGTTTCTTGATCTCTCACATGTATCTCATAATTACAGAAAAAAATTATATAGTTTACATATATGCTGCACTGTTCACTTTTATAGCTCCTTTGCAAATGACACAGAAAAGGGCACCTCATTTTCCCCTTCAGCCCTGTGTAATGAACAACTATGTAACCTGGCTCACAGTCCTGGTTATTCCTTGGGTGTTGAGTGGTAGCTCGTAGATAAGAGACTCAGGAAAGGCTTACAGCAATCCCTGATGTCTTCAGAAGCAGGACTGTGTGCATGATTTCTGTTTCCTGTTGATTTAGAGTGCAGCATTTATAGAAATACTTTCAGTCTATTCTGATTGATGTTTCTTAAGTTAATTTTAGTCTAGAAGTTTATGTATCCCTAAACAAATTAGAGGAAATTATTTTGAAATAGGAATGTCTTTTGATAATATAAGTATTCCTAGTGAGGATTTTAATATGGCTGAGGCATGTCTGTATTTAGGTTTTAAAAAGTTAGTTTTATTTTCCTTTCTTCTCAGAAATACTGTTTGGTTTAATCTTAAGAAATTTCACTCTGCTGACACAAAGAATTCCAATCAGACCAGATTAGACTGAATTAAAATGCCCATGTTTAATAAATGTGACACTCTTGTTCTTGGGTGGACCAAGACAGCTAGGTGAGGAGAGGAGCCCACACAAACCCCAGAGACCATGTGTTCCTTTTTCTTACGAGTGGTCCTGATCCTCCCTGGGGGGTAGTCAGTGCTTGGCAGGCTGGGAGTTGGAGTCCAAGCACTTGGCAGGCTGGGAATTGGAGTCTAAAAGCTTAACAGGCTGGGAATTGGAGTATAACTCAATATTACATTCCAGACTCTTTGGATATAGGAGTGTTAGAGGGCTGGGGTCTCACTTTTGATCAAACTTCCTGGAGTCCTTGGATATAGGGTCGTCGGCTCAAGTCTGGCTACTTCCTGTGGGCATAGGGCAATGTGAGCAAGGAGAGAGCTGGGAGTTGGTATGCTCATGCTCAGTGAGAGGTGTGGCTGGAGCGGCATCCGGATGGGACACAATAGCAGATCACCCTGGATTTTTTAAAACCAGATTTTAGTTGACAGGTGTTCTTAATCCAGGAGAGTTGGTAACAATGATGAAGTCCCAGGAGCTGGTACAGGACTTTCGGCATTGTCCGGGGAGCGGTTTTTCGGTTGGTCTTGGCCCAGGCAGTAGGAATGACCTGTAAAGTATGCTTGAAACTGGCTGGGGTTAGCAAAAGGCTCTGGAGATTGTTAGGGTACTTTTTTTTTTTAAACCAGTCCTGATTTTGATACTGCAATAGAAGTTTTCCAGGAACCTGTAAGAGAACTGGAACAGTTCTTCTTATATCTTGGTGTCATAGCAAAAGGCTATTGTTTTATTTTAAAAGGTAAAGGAAATTGGGAACTCTGAACCTCTGAAGACATACCTGAAACCTGTTAGTCCTAGACTGTGAAGCCTGTGAAGGAGACACACCTGTCTGTATTTTAGCAGGAAACTATTAAATGTCATAAATGAAGTAATGAGTTAACAGTACCTTAAGTTGTCAAATGCTATTAGACAGATCTGGGAGGGATAAATCAGCAAAAATGAGACAGCTTTTTAGCTACACAGGTAATCCCAAATCCTCTCCTTAGTCCTTCGAGAATACCAGTCTCAGAAGCAGTGATTGCTGCTAGCTGCTGAGTACAAGAGGCCCAAAGAGTTTTCCAGTGAGGGGAAGATTTTAGTCTACCTGTCTTGGATCGATTGATTCCCTGGGTGAAGAAACATCCAGGAAGCCGAAGAGGTAAAAGGCCTCTTTTTGCTGTGTGATTGTTTTACCAAACCCAGAGGCAAGGCCTGGAGGCCGAAGGTCTTCTGTCTTCTTGAAGGAGCTAAAGGATGCTGCAGAAGCTGCATGTCTGTGTTAGAAGCTCTTGTTAAAGTGCCTTGCCCTTAGATCTGTAAAGGCACTGAGAACTAGGTACCATTACCTGTTATTTAAACTGGGCATATAAGCTAAATTTAGGCATGTATTTTATCCAGTTAGTTACAGTTTACAATGCTAGTAGATGTAAGAAGATTAAAAGGAATATTTTAATAAGTCAAAGAACCTTAAAATGAACACACAGGCACACAGAAACATTTATAAAATTACACAGACATACTGTGGCCACATCATTTTGACAGACAGACAAACAAAACATTTTTAGAAACCTGTGTTAGCTGACCAACTTAAAATTTTGGCGTACTTAGGTGGCAGAAGCCAGGAGGGTGGAAGGACGGGGAAACATTTATTTTTAAAAAAATTTAGAGTGAGACAAACAGCAAATAGCTTAGAGAAGCAGGGAAGGGGGGATAGCAGAGCAGGAGCGCGTGGCAGAAACTGCAGGCTTTTGGAGCCTTGTTTAAGTTAGGTGTTAGTCCCAATTTAAAAGGATTTTTTGTAAAAGGCTGCCCAAGCGGCAAACAGCAGGGAGGGGCTTGAGTGATCCCAGCGTAGGTGGCAAAGGCCAGGGAAACAGCTGATGGACGAGTGCCTGTTCCGAAGAGATGGGCTATGGCCTCCACTGTCCTCAGCAATGAAAAGGGAGTCGGGTTTAGATCCCTGATCCGGAACAGGACAGGAGCGGCCTCACCGCCTGGCGGGGGCTACAGAGAAATGGAAGTGGGGGCAGGACAAACCACTGGCTGTGAATAAGGAGTGGGTGGGGGACGAGATCACTGGCTGCGACAGACACAGAGACAGAGACAGAGAGAGACACACACGGAAGTAGGGGTGGGACGAGAGTGTGCATTTAGAAACTGGGCTTTTGGTGCATTGTTAATTTACGTTAGATAGTCCCAATTTAAAAGGATTTTTGTAAAAGGCCGTTTAAGGGCATTTGAGTAATTGGCTTGGAATCACAAGAAACCCATTAGAAGCGCATACCTCT